AGAGAATCACTATGTGTACATGCTTGGGGAATGGAAAACTGCACTTTAAATATTGATGAATTTTTCAAACATGTATAGCCAAAACTTTTTTTTTTATTTTGGATAGAGTAGGAAAGAGTTAAAACTGCCAATAAAATGTGGGAAGAAAGTGAGGGGAATTCTCTTTAAGACAACAGTAACTGAAACAGAATCCCCATTGGAAGAGTTACCCTCACCCTGTTCTTCTGGCAACTATAGCACTTTGGATATCCCGACATTTTCTGTCTCAATGATAATGATCACCAAGACAAAAAAAAGAGTGAATCTCCCGAACAGGTAAGCTGACTTGAAAAAAAGAGGTTCTAATTCCCAACCAAAAAACATACAATTTTGACTACATGTACACTTCATTTGAATATCTTTGCCATTTTTTTAACAATTGTATTCAAGATTGTAGAGCATTACTATATCTGAAGGTACAGCCAAGAATCTTCGTGATGGGGATCCATCCACATTACTACACAAAGTCCTTGATTTACTAAAGTGTGAGGTAAACCAATGTGAAACTATGTTGAATTTCTGAAACATGTAAGGTGAAATGTACCCAGATCTACTGCAAACATCCAATCTTTTGAAGAAAAGAAACTTCTTCAGCTGATGTGTCCTTCACTTCATTACGTACATGTAAATCAGTCCCAACTTTATTAAATTCACATTTTTGTAAGTCAGGCCCAGAGACTGCCAAATTTTGGAAGCTGTAATCCAGCCAATATGTTTTAGTTTTAGTTTTCCAATGAATTGGGGACATGTTTTTTCAGCATTTTTTCCTCCTGATTAGGGATTTACCCTCTTTGTTTGTTCTGGTGGCCACTATCATTGGGACTAAGGGGGAAGAAAAATCTAGATCATTACCAGAAAAAAAAATTGAGACAAAATCTTTCAATGGGAAAACTTATTCCAGTAAGAACTAAGAGGGTATTTCTCCCATTTTTGAGTGATTTCCTCTCAATTTCTGTTGGGTCTACAGGACAGAAAGTGAGACATACCTTAACTGGGACAAAACAAATGCCAGGGGTTTTAACCACTCCCTACTCTATCTGAAATAAAAAAAATGGTTTTTAGATATCCCCTAAAAATCCCATTAACTTCTTATTTCTGTCTATGATCCCAGTGGATAGAGTTTCCAATTTTCCAATCCCTATATGAGAAATGGGAGGAGTGGTTGTCATTAGAATGGACAATAATACAAAAAAAAATTGTCAGAAGGTATAGCCTTTCCTTAATTGCATTTTACACCCCATTGGTCAGATCACCTCTTGTCCTAGCAGCAAATGAGGGACAATCTCCACAAAAGGGACACAGATGGTAATAGAGACATCATAGAGACCTCATAGAGCAACAACCCTTACGCATCCAACTCAATCCAAAACTAAATCAAACTTTGTGTTGGCAGGAGACATGTTTAAAAAATATAACTTTCCACCTTTATTAGTTTGTTTTATTTTTATGATAAATTTTAAATTTGGATAACAAAGAACCCTATATTTCATAATAAATAAACTTAATGTTTTTTAATAGCTTTTGCTCAATTCTACTGTAACGCATGTTCTGGTTTTGTGATATTTGGATATGCTAACCCCAACCTTTTTTTTCCACTGCACAGTTGTATTTGCCCTGATCTGCAGTTCATCTATATATACAAGAGCTTTGTTTCTTGTTTCAGTAAAAGTGCCAACCTATAGCGTCTGTTCAGCACCTCTTTTCTAGGTCAGATTTCACAGGGGTCTGATGAAATCAGCAGTGAAATACTAAGTGTCGGCTGGCGATGGCAATAAATTTACTCAACACCTTTCAAATGCCTTTGCTAAATCTTTTGTTTACTGTAGTTCTTTTTTTTTTATACGTTTGGCTTTTATTTCACCACTGCTTTTCTGACAAGAATGACTGAGAGGTCCTTGGTCGATGGTGATACATTTAATGAGATAAGTGTAGCTGTAACATGGTTAACATTCTTTCACCTCGCTGGCCTTCCTTGGAATGGAAGCTAAATGGGAAAAAGGCAATTAGCCTCCTCACCTCCTTTTACTTTCCTTTAAAGGTGAATGTTAGCCACCCTTTAAAAATGTTTTGTTTTTACAGAATTTGCCTTACCTTGGGGTAATATCTGATTTTATTGGCAAAAAAATAATTTTAACACAAACCTTTCAAACATCTGAGTAATTTATAGTTAAACTACAATCACTTTAATCATCAGTGATGAAATGTGGCTGAGTACCTCTAGTCCAGCCATGTCCTAACTTGAGGTGAGGTGGTCACTGGCCTCCACTGTTAATAGTGCTGGCATGCTGATATCAATGAGAAGACAGCAAGGGAAGACTTTTTTCCACTTATGTTAAACATTTTAACCTCTGCTTATACTTTTTTTTTCTCAGATGCTCAGTTTGAATTACCCAGGCTTCTGACAGGTTTACTCAAAAATGCAACTTTCGTAATCACCAAATTATTGCTTCCATGGGCAAAAATAGAGAGTATTCATTGTGTGCTTCTACTGGAGCCCAAATGGTAATGAAGACTTACCATTTACATACCTACTAACCTTATCAGGCTAGATTCTGCTGGTGTTATCTAAATTTGCTGGTGGTAAAGGTTTACAGCCTCTTCTTAAAGGTCACACGTGGTGCAATGATGGTATAGGTACCTCAAAATTTCAAGCTCTGCAGTTTTTTTTTTTCCATCATTATAGAGGTTTTCCACTAGATCTTTTTTTAGGCTCTCACCTCAACTTATCCAATCAAAAAATTTGCAGGTGCTGTTGTGTAAATGGCAGTGTTGCTCATAAAAAAAGCTATTTTTTTAAGTTTCTAACTGGATGAAAAAATTATATCTGATTGATTGTTAACTGCAGCATTTGTACATTTGCTGCACATTCCTTTGCTTCAGCATCTATAAACCATGACCCCAGAGTCCTATTTTATATAAATGCACCAGTTTTCACCTACAAATGGCATTGCAACTAAAATCAGAGGTGCTGCAGAAAAAGGGGGGAAGAGCCTCACTTGTGTTACTACACAAAGGTGCCACTATAGAACAGTTCCATTTTTACTTTAACTGGAAAACACATTTAGGGTTATTTTCCAATAGCTGATGCATTAAAGCACATTTTAAATTGCATCATTCTGCATTTTTAAAGTACCTAAATAGATAAAATCTGCATATGTTTACACTGCTACTACAAAACACCGTGCCTACATTTAACCATTTTGTTTTCTGACCATGCCCCTTAAAGTAGAACTTAAAGCTACAATTACAATTTTTAAACCAAACATTTTTTCTTTTACATTATATAACTTATTTTAGACCCAATTGCATCATCATTGGGTCTAAGTGCTTGTCTTAGTTGTGCAGAAAGGCTGTGGCTGGTGGAAGATGCTGGCAAGGTGCTTTGGTGTCTTCCTGTAAATATCACACCACTGCCTTGTTCCTTCTCTTAAGAGTTCTCCCAAGCAGTGTATTGGCTTTTTGGGGTTTATGTAAATGTTAGATGGGAACTTGGGTAGCTGCATAGTCTTCAGAAGTAGGCATTCCTAGGCACAATGCATGTGCAGGCAGGGTGCCCAAGATAATATCTACACATGGTGTTGAAATTAAATGGTTGACAGCATAAAAAAGAAAATAGCTGAAATGGTGGGTCACACACAGTGAGGATTGGGAGCAGAAGGCTGGATGATGCTTTACGTCTACCAATCTAGAAATATAACTAGCTGCAGCTTCTGATGCACATTGTATTAAACTCATGGTGGAGAATTAGATTGATCACTCCCCCCTGACATCACTGAACAAATAAGGTCCTGTACATATTTGGTTGTTATCACCTGGGACACCATGCAACTTTGTTTATATTCCACTCTCAGGACTAGGAGCTGTCTATCAAGGAAAGCAAGCGAGGGATCACATATGTTGGTGGTCTTTTCTTTTGGTGAGTACCCAACAATTGTTCATATTCATGCCCCTGATTGACAAAGACTTGCATTGCTGGATGGCATGATTGATGGTGTATTTTTTTTTTTCTTTATTAGAGACTTGTAAAAAAGTGTGTGTTTACTTACTATATTTTTTGTGAATGAGTAGGGGTGCTATGAACCACTTACTCTTTCACAGGTGGAGGGAGGCTATCTAAGGGTCCTCCCACTGTTTTTGGGAGACATATTTTAATAAGCCCCCCACCCTTAGACTTCCACAACCACCAAACCAGGATTGTGGGGAAGAGGGCTTTGTCCTCACAAGGTGCTTTGCCAGGGGACTCCTCCTGGTAATTTACCCACTCCATGTTGAGGGCATGTGGCCTGGTATAGTTCAGAATGGGTGGATCCACAGGCCTACCAGGCTGCATGCTTGGATAGGGGTCTGGTATGGATTTTGAGGGAGACCCTATGCTTCTTTTCTTGTTTCTCTTATAGGGTTCCCTCTTAAAATCCATTCTAAAACCAAATGGGTCTGAGTGAGGGATAAAGGAGAAACCAGGGAACATAACATATAAGAAGATTAAACTCTACCTTTAAGCAAAAAAAAAAAGTAATGTAAAAATATTTAAACACAATGTTTTATGCGCTGGGCTTTGATATACTATGTTCTGAAGAAAGCTATAACTAGGCTTTAATAACCTTTTTTATGTTTCTTATTTAGGACCTTTATTTATATTGTTATATAGCTACCGCCTAAATAAAAGTGACACTTGCAAAACAAATACAACCACTGAGAATTTAAAATGTATTACACTTGGGTATTTGCTCATTATTATAAAGCTTTTACAATCCCCTGAGCTAGACTTAGTATTTTACTTATTTAGAACTTATGTGAGCTGGAGACATCAGAACATAACCCCATGATGGTATTCGGTGTTAGCCGTGACAGGTTACACAGCAAAAGGTGAAGACTAAATCATAACAACCTGGCCCTGTTCTATTTCGGACGCACACAGACTGAGTATTGTCAGGAGGTACACTGTCACAAGTCATACTCACACGCAGACTGGGATGTTGGTCTCCGGGTCCAGCTGACAAGTGCCCCCATTATAGCAGTACCCATCACACAACTGACAGCTGGAGGCCAGCTTGCCGTTACTGCAGCTGTGAAGAAAAAGACAACAATGTAATTATTTCCTTCATTTCAAGAAGAGAGCTAAGATTCCCTATGCAAATTATTTTTATCTAATCTCTTGTACAAATCCATCTGTGAGTGAAAACGCTATTTCTGTGACAGGTCAGCCCTTAGCGATATTTTTTAAACAGCATGACAGTGAGCATATATTTTTTTCCACCCCTCTAAGGCTATTATATTTGCAAACCGTTAGTTCAGGAAAACAAGGCAAAGCTAACATTTACTTGTGCAGTGCAAACATCTAGCGGTGATCCTCGAGAGACAGAGCATCACCATTTTGCACTGCGAGCTGCTTGGTATACACGCGGCAGCCGACCGATCGGCTAAAAGAGGAAAAGAAAAATTAATTTGGAGATTTCATCTTTTCTTCTGCCTAAATGTACCATGGTAATACTATTATTTCTGTCAATGTGTCAGGAACATCATTGCTCTGTTTACAGGGGATAACAAATGTAAAGAATATGCACTGCTTGCCTTGCAAGGCTACCAAATGATGGAGAGAAAAGACACCTACTAATACAAGAGAGCATTTGTATTTCTGCAGTCCTCCTCCTGGTACAGTTAGCTTGGGAGGACAGTGGATTTTCATGTAGTTTTTGTTGGCCAATTGTTTTCCCTCAGACAGCTGCCATCTTCAGAACATTCCCTCCCCTCTCCATAAGTGCGAACAGGCAAAGTTCACCCAATTAGATCCTTTGTTTAGATCACAGCTGACCACTGTCCTAAAACCTCAATATACAGGAAACCCACTGACAGATGCAACTACCTCCACAGTTCTAGCTTCCACCCCCAACACACGAAATCATACACAGTCAGGCCATTAGATACTACTGAATATGTTCTGACCCAAGAGACAGAGATACACATCTCGGGACACTAGCAGGCTCCTTCCATAAGAAAGGTTACAAGGATAAAACTATCAACACCAGCATAAACACAGCCTTGAGAACCCAAAGAGAAAATCTACTTCAGTACAAAGAGAAAAAAAAACAAACAACCATGTACCTCTAGTAACCACATACAACCCAGCACTAGAAGGAATAAGAAAAATAATCAAAGATTTACAACCCATCATAACAGAGGATGGAACTCTGAAAGAAATATTCCAGCAACCCCCAAAACTGACCTTCAGACAACCCCCCAACCTCAGAAATAAACTAATCAGTAGGAAACTTCCTTCTGATTATGATGTCACAAATAATGGAAGCAAACCCTGCAATAAGAAACGCTGCAAACTGTGCAACCAAATCAATCCATCAAAAACTGTCCGACACTCAAAAGGGATCTTCAATATCTCCGGATCATACAGCTGCACCTCCAGTAATGTTGTGTACCTTATCCAGTGCAGAAAATGTAACAAAGGATCCTATGTTGGCGAAACAGGACAGAAGTTGCAAACAAGGATGAATTTGCACAGACATACCATCAAGGAACATAAAGAAGATGACTTCTGCACACCTGTGGGACACCATTTCGCACAACCAGACCACATTATGGAAAACCTCAATGTTTTAGTTCTGAAAGGAAATTTCAAATCCATTCAGGAAAGAAAAACTTTTGAACTAAGAATGATATTTGACACAAGAGATAACGGCCTTAATTTGGACATGGGATTCCTCAATCATTATCCAACAGTTTTATGACTCTCTCTGTGATTGTTGTCCTCCCCCCTAGTCTTTGCTTTTGCTTTGCTGTATCTTATCTCTAGTTTAACCCTAGGCTTGTGTTTCTTTCTGCTTTTTTTTTTTTTCTTTTTCACTCATCTCCAACTTCTAACATTCTGCTAAAACATTGTAATAGTACTGCTCGGACCTTAACCTCCCTAGCGGTCTGATTATTTCAGATTTTTGGTGCTGAAAGCGGTACCATTATTTTGCATGGAAATATGTAGTTTTTTTATTGTATACTGTAATTTTTAGGAATAACTCACTGAAATCTGTCCAAACAAGAGTCTATTAAACATCCCGGGTATGATAAAATTTGAAACACGAAATCATAAATTTTATTTTAAAAAATAATCATAAAAAATAACATAATAATACATGTAATTCAATAATATAATCAAACCAAAAACACTGAAATTTGAAATAGAGCGCCAAGTTCGCACATTGCTGAGCAAAGTCGCAAAATCATTTTCAGTGTCTGATGACGAATTTCCCCACGAATCATTATCACTCAATTCTGCAAGTGGTTCTGATTTACTATCGCTGTTCTCTAGCCGGTCTAAACCCACTTTTGACCTAAAGGGACACTTTTTGGACGCCATGGACTTTTCTCAGTTTCCAGGCAGAAAGAACAGTAAAAATGCAGGCAGGGCACAGGACAAAGCACTCGGGACAAAATGTATGTGAAATGGGTTGAAACAGCAACGTTTTGCTATGTAAAATTTGTTTAGAAAAAATGAAATTTTTTAAAATTTTCTAATTTCTCGCCGCCGGCGCCCGTACGTCCCGACGTCACAGGGACCGGAACACAGAAGCCGGATGCCGGCATCGGCCGGAGGAGATGGCCGGGGACGCTGCAGGGGACACATTGCGGGAGTGAAGGACAAGGTAAGCTCTACAGGGACTCCCTATGCAGCGCCGCATGGTAAGCCCGAGTGTAGTTCGAGGTTACCGCTTTTGGCACTAACATTTTACCCCGAGCTACACTCAGGAATACCACTAGGGAGGTTAAAGAAGGGGACATACCCCGAAAGACTGTCATCAAAATTGAATGTTCGTGCAAATAAAAAAAAGTATCACGGACAGTACTCAATTGTTTCTGACGCAAGTGCACTAATACGGCTACAATCACCTCAAGCTTTAAATTAAAGAATCTCACTAAGCCGTTTAAAATTTAATTAACCTTTTTATTAGCTTAGCAGCACCAAGTGATATTTCACTTTTAAGAATGAATCAGCTCTGCATGGCTGTATAATATAAGGCAGGGGTTTCCAAACTGCAACCCATGGGCCAGATGTGGCCCTTTGCTTACCTTCATCCTTGGGGCACTACTCCTTCCACTGACACCAAAGATGTTGCACTATTTCTTCCACTGACATCAATGATGGGGCACAATTCCTTCCCCTGACACCAACAACGGGGTACTATTTCTCCCACTGACACCAGAGATGGGGAACTAATTCTCCCACTGACACCAATTATGGGACACTATTCCCCAAACTGACACCAATAATATATTTTTTTTTACACCCACTGATCACCAAGTCTACAGCATTGCTTACTCCCACTGATGCCAGGGCATTTTCTACTATACTGGTCCCTTATATTTGAAAGGCAGTAAACTGGCTCTGAAAGTTTGGAGACTGCTGATATAGGGTACCAGCACAGACTGTTCTTTTGTGAAAGTGAAAGATCACTCAGCACTGTGGCACTGTGTGATCTCTCTGCAGTTGCTTGTAAACATCCAGGCAATCTGCAGATAGATCACACAGCCCCGTAGCAATGTACTTCACTGTAGCGCTGTTCTGCATTGTAGCAGCTTCACTTCTATCCATTACTGATACAATGTAGCAGAGATGGAACTCCATTGTTTGAACAAAGAAACACTTCACAGTTGAGCAGCAGATCACTTAAACAATGGAGTTCCCTCTGCAACATTGTATCAATTCTGTAAAGCAGTTCCCTCTCCATGGTAGCCTATTCATTACAGAATTGGCGGTGCGCAGGAATCTCTATATACGTTGTACACAGTGCAGTTGGAGGTCTCCCTCATATTAATTCCTCTTGTAGTCTAATGTTTACAGCCTACAGTTTTGGGCTATTTTATTTATTGATTGAATGTTCTTTAACTCTTCTGGACAAATGGTCAAATTTCTAATAGGATCAGATGTTAAGGAATGTTATATTCACCCTGCGGAAGGCAACAACTAGAAACTGAAATTTCACACATATTAAATACATCACATGTAATATTCATGATTTTTATGTGAATTCTAAGACATTGTTCACACCATTTTTTATACATAGACCCGTAGGTCTCTGCTTGTATATTTGGATTTCATAGGAGAGGTAATGGGGCCCTCTAGATCTCTCAGTGGCAAATTTAATTAGCTAAAGTATTTCCCATAGGTATTTACTCCCAAAATCTCTTCCCTAGCCCTTCCCTCCAAAGAGCTTTGAGATTTAAAAAAAAAATCCTTCTTCTGAATGACTCTTTTCAGAAAGCAAACTAGAACACGTTTACTGTCTTGTGAAATCTTTTTGTAATAGACATAATAGACATTCTTTGCAAAACTTTGGCTGCTGAAGCTATGATTAACATTGAAAGAGTGGAAGGGGTGTAAATGTATAAAGGGCTCTGTTTTTGTAGAATGTATTGAAAAAGAAAAAAAAATGCAGTCCAACAAAAAAAAGAAAAAGCAAACGTACCAGAACTGCATAAATATTCAACTTGTTTCTTTTAGGTATATTCCTATCGTATCAATTTGCAGTCGGGTAGAATGAGTGCTTGTGAGGTGTGCAGTCATTGTATTCCATTTAAAACAAACTGAATTATCAGTTATGGATAAATCATTCTGTGGCCATGATTAGACAAGCAGGCATGCAAGCTGACACTTTTTAATTAAAATAAGCAGCGTGTTTTCCTGAAGCCAAGCTGATAAAAACTATATCAGCTCAGCCTAGTTCAAAAGACATAGCTGTCTATTTTTGACAGTGAAGAGTTATCCATTCCTGAAAACAATACTTGTAGTGTTTTCTGAGGAGGACTGCTCCCTCCACCATGTCAGAGAAACGGCAGGAGAACAAACCCCATAAGGATCTTTACTGATGAAGATGCAGTCAGCTCAAAAAAAGACATCAAAAATTAAAATTTTAAAGCTGAAGTTTAGCTAAAAAAAATCCCTACAGCTTTAATTACGTCACTTACCTGTAATGAAGAAATACCACATGGTGTAGACAGTGGGCTCCTGGAGAAATCTTCACTGCAGGAATGCCTGTCCTCTTCCTGGCTCTGAACTTTTGGC